TTCTTATACAGGAATGTGACGTACGTTATACCTATTCTAAACTTATAAAAATGGTGTCACTGGAATATATTTTCATTCGGTAAACGATTACCCAATATTGAAAGACTGCAATATCTTAGTTTCAAACAGACCAGCTTAAAGTGAAAAAGCTATCAGCTTTTACAGATCACTTTTTGACTATTTTGTCAAAGATTTCAATTTAGAACCAAACAAAACGGAAGGTAGGATGACAAACCTGTCTGTTAGCGTGGAGCCATATACATCTTTCTTCGACGATGTCAGTGACGATGCCGTCGTGACCACGGTCGAGATGATCGTCGGTGGCGGTGGCGGGTCGACGCGTTACAAGTCGATCAACAACCTCCAAGGCCTTATCCTGGGTACGAGCCTCGTCATCCTTATCATCGTCACCAACCTGCTCAGCCTCGGTGCCTTCGCGGTCGAGAAGCGTCTTCGCACCTACAACAACTACTTCATCATCAACCTCGCCCTCTCTGACCTCGCCGTCGGGATCCTCCAAATCGTCGGTGTCATCCACACATTCAACGGTTACTTTCCAGGCGGCCCAGAATTCTGCAAGGTTTACCTAGGTCTGCGCAATGCAATGTTTTCCGTCTCTGTGGTCGGCGTAGTCATCATCTGCATCGATCGACATCGTGCGACCTACGACCCCATCAACCACTACATGACAAAAAGCAAGCGCAAGGCTGTCATCCTCAACATCCTAACCTGGGTCATCGCCTTCAGCTTCTGGATGTTCTATGCCACCGTCTGGGACTTCGCCATTAATTCCAACCCCGGGAAGAGCTGCCTCGCCTCGTTCTCGAGAATCCCCGCCGCCAACATGTTCCAGACTGTCTTGACCATCTTTCTCCCGCTCGCAGTCATCTCCGTTCTCTATCTCCGAATCTACATCAAGATCAAGGAAACGGTCGGGGGCAAGAGTATCAACAAGCAATTCGGGGAAGGTGAGATGTCGAAATCGACCAGTCTGACGACTGTCTGCAGCGATTTGTCATCCAGTGGAACGATGGAGATGACGAAATCAAGCGCTCAAGTGAAAACCAACGGCGACACCTCCGGCAAAGGCGGAAAGGTAAGGTTTCAAAAGTTGATGCTTTTTCGAACACCAAGATAGCCAATGACGAAAATAAACAAACAGATAATATCACCTGGGCAAAAGAGTCACAGAATTCACACAGTTTCAAACCTAGGTTTTACGCGTCGAAACGCGTCATATGACGCACATAAACCTTGGTTTGTTGACAAACCTCCTTTGTTAATTCGGGCATGCACAGTGTCACATTAGTGAATTCGAAATAATTCGAGGTCTCTTTCTTTATGGCTTTTACAAAATCCACTCAGAAAAATACATAACTATGGCTTACTTCGAATTATCGGGTCATCGCGTCGGGTCGGGTCGGGTGGTAGCGTTACCCGACCTGTTGTGAAAACATGCCCCTTTATTTACGAAATGTCGGGGGGGGGTAATGTTTGTAAAATAAACATCTAAAATAGGTCGTATCCTAGCTAAACGCTCATCTTCACATGACCTTCCGCTTTCGTTTCACAAAACCGATAAACCGATGACCCGATAATTAAACCGCTTTTCTTTTCTTTTTCTGAGTGCATTTCGTAAAAGCCATTGATTAGGCAACTAGATATTGACGCTTTATAAATTCCTGGATTGGATTGGATGATTCGAAGTAAGCCCATAAAAACAGAGATTTTTTTTATTTTAACACACTCGACAATAGTCTCATCTTTTGCCTTGAACGTTAGAGTAGTTTAATTTACATTTACGCACAATTCTTTCATGTTACATCTTTTAACAACAAACATTGAATTAGTATAGACCTATTGTTAATACATCTGGTTTGAGGATAATATTTTCGATATGAATTCAATTCCTCAAATTTGAATCTTGACCTATCGGGTTTTTATAAGCTAATTTTATTTATAATTGCTGAGACCTCAAAATAAATATTTTTTCAAAAGTTAAAGTTGATGTATTTCTGCATATTGCAAGATTATTAAGTGACATTGTCGTCATGATTCCTCGCTTTTTTGCATTTTTTTGTAACGATCATAACCTAAAACCGTTTTTCTTGACTCTTCGATATACAGGGGGAGGCCGGAAGTAACCGTCCTGCTACTGCCAACCGCGAAACCGCCAATGAAATGCAGAAGGCCACCCGCACCCTATCCTACATCGTTTTTTCCTTCGCCATCGCCTGGATACCTAACTCCATCATCTATTTCCTGTACGCCATCGATCCACAGCTCATCGCTTACGAGAACCTACCGCGGGATGTGAAGCAGTTCTTTGTCTGGGTTCGCTTCGCCAACAGCTTCTTTAATCCTATCTGTTAGGGGAGCCTTCCAAAGTTGCGACTGTGCCGCGACGCGTCGGGGCGCAGAGCAGGATATGAGAACAAAGGAGGCGCCTTATTGCGCCCATTTGCGCCTTTTTGCGTCGGATACGAGAGGACTTCAGATGGTTCCCAGCTCATTAAAATCTGGCTATTGTTTGGAGTCTCATTGTTACGAAATTACCCCGCCGGGGCGCGCCCCGGTGAAGCACTTGACACTTGTGAATGGGAGCTTAAACTTTGAATAGCTTTCGCGTCCTTTCGCGCCCGGTCCGGCGCATTAGTTATTCATGTATAGTGCCTGCTTGTGTGTCGCTCTCGTCTTGCGAGATTTGACTCTGAAAAGCATTACTTTGGCTACTGATTTGTTTTAATATTATTTTACGTACATGACATTGGTTACAATGTTTGTTCTGATTGTTTATTTTCCTCTCAACATCGGAGTTCTGTAGGCGTTAACGTTGGCATGATTGTTCATTATTTCATCTCCTCCTGTTCTGTTCATGATTGTGTTCAGTATATTAATTTTAATACAAATTGATTTGTTCACGACAAAAACAACTTATTTTATACTTACCCCACTCTCTCTGACATTGTTTTCCTCGTGCATGTTTTGACACTTTATTTGATTCATATTACATTAAAATTGTGTATATTTCCTCTAGCGATGTTATCGCATGTTTTGTTTTCTTTAATTTTCGTTGCATCTTGTAAACAGTTCTGTCGTATGATCATTATAAATCATATAATTATATCATCAGTCTGTTATTTCAATACATAGATCCTTTGAATCTTCTTAAAATTAGATTTTTTAGTATTTTTAAATCCTTGATGTTGGAAATGATACTTAATCAAGAATGTCGTAGTTTCTCCTTGAATTTGATTTAAAAAGCGTTTTATCTGTATTACGATTTTTGTTTATGCATATGATATCCGTATTGTCGGGAACATCATCAATATGTTTCGTTAGAAGGAAGACGCTCATTTTCAGAATGTTCTTTCTTTGCAAAACACTAATGGTACGAACAAAATTAAATACACTGTACCCGTATCATCGGGGATATCGCAAAACTCCCAGGGAGATTATCAATTGCAAATCAACATAGTAAATTATGCCTAAATCGTAAGAATAGAACATGCATCAAAAAAGAAGAGCGTTACCAGGAAATAATGTTTGAAATTTCACCTCGAACATATCTCAAGAAGAAATTAGTTTATCATTCTGTTCCAAAGAATTTTAACGAATATTTCTTTACGAAGAAGGGGGGGGGGGGGGGGGGGGTTACAGCCACGGCCAGTTTTAGATCTAGGTCATTGTTGAGAAGAACTGAAATAGGTATATATTGTGCTTAATTGGGGCCACGTGGTATCGAAAGAGCGTAGTGCGTTCTAAAACAAATAATACAAGCCATGGCAATTCGTTCAATTGCTTCTCGTAACAGAACTGTCTCACTAGCTGTCTAAATAATGATCCATCATGCGCGTGTTGGTATCAAGTAGTAGACGGAATGTATAATGATTGCGTTGTTTTGGGCCATTTTTTCTTTAGGGGTGGGGGGGGGGGCTAGCCCTTATTCTTCTTCTACTGGGTCATCAAGAAACACAAATAGTGTTTAAATTTTCCGCAATCCCTTTAGCAGGCGCGGATCCAGGATTTTTTTTGCTCTTGAAAATGTGAAAATCGCGCCGGCCGAAAAGTCGCTTAGTTGGGGGGGGGGGGGGGGGGGGGGGGGGGAGGGAGGGGGGGGGGGGGAGGGGGGGTAGTGAGCACAATTTTTTTTTTTTTTTGCTCCCGAAAATTTGAAAATCGCGCCGGCCGAAAAGTCGCTCAGTGGGGGGGGGGGGGGGGGGGGGGGGGGGGGGGGTAGTGAGCACATTTTTTTTGTTGGCCCTCGAAAATTTTAAAATTTGCACCCCCCCCCCCCCTTGAGCGCCAGGGGGGGGGGGCAAACCCCAGAAAAGGTAAAAAAAAAATACCCCCCCCCCCCCCATGGATCCGCCACTGCCCTTCAGCGCCGAGGGTAGAAAAGCCTATAGAAAAGTCAGCTGGACAATAGCAATTTAATGTTGGTCGAACAATCAGGGAGAAATACTGGGTACACATGTACACAATATTAGCCCACGTCTTCAATATAACCAGGAAATCCCGATATAACTATTTAAGCACATGCTCACAATATGAATTTCAAATCTGGCTATTGTTTGGAGACTTATTGTTATAAAGGGGTACTTTTCACGCACCAAAGTCCGGCTCGTCTAGTACACAAAAGTCCGGCCCGTATTGACTTTACACACCGGACTTAAGGGGCTGTTTTCAAAAGGAGGGAACATGCATATGCGTACCCTACATAACACTCAGTGGGGGGGGGGGGGGGGGGGGGGGGGGGGCGGTGCGCTTAACGGCGAAGCGCTCTTTGTGAATTGTGAATTTGTGAATGGGAGCTTAACTTTGAAAAGCTTTCGCGCCCGTTCCAACGCATTAGTTATTCATGTAATCCCCGCGTGTGTGTCCGCTCTCGTCTTGAAAGATTTGACTCTAAATTTTTCACTTTGGCTACTGATTTGTTTCATTATTATTTTACGTACATGACATTGATTTAGATTCTTATTCTGATTGTTAATTTCCCTCCCAACATCGAAGTGTTTTAGGCATTGACGTTGGCATGATTGTTCATTTCTGTTCATCAATGTGTTCAATACTTCAATTATATTAATTTGTTCACGAACAAAACAGAAACGATATGTATAATTGTATTCTTTCTGTATGTTTTGGCACATTATTGTTTCATATTGCATTATTTTGTTCTGTCATCCGATCAAAATAGGTCATATATCTATATCATCAATCTGTTCATTCTCATGCAAGATCGATTTAAAGAATAGAAACGTAGGTTCTCTAAATCTTCGCAAAATCAGCTATTGTATTTTAACACCGTGATTTCAAAATGATACTTATAATCAAAGACATTGTAAGATTCTGCTTGAAATAAGATTATAGGGCGTTTATAAATATGTCATACGAAACGAACAAACATCTGCAAATTAAAGATATTACAGAAATGATAATCGTATTGTCGGGAGCCTGCATTATCAAAACGTTTCGGTAGATGGAAGACGCTCTTTTTCGAAATGCACTCACCAAAATTCTGCTCGAATCATAAGGAACACTGTCTCCCTGCAAAATTATAAAACTAATTTTACGAAAAAAAACGAATATCTGCATTATCGGGGAAATCGATATACTCCCAGAAAGATTATTATTTGCAAATAAACATTGTAAATTATGTTTGAATCGTATGGGACCTTGAAGAAAGAAGGAGTGTTTATCGGACACGATATTCGTTATTTTCACCTCGAACCATTCGAAATCACCTATATGTTCCAAACATGAAATTTGATTGAATATTTCTTCGCGAAGAAACTGTATTGGTGGTGGCATTTGACGTAACAATTTGTTGTTATCAATTGCCCGTGAGGTTTTGACGTTTCATATTTGTTAGCTAGCGCTAGTAAAGTCTCTTGTTTTAACGTGCACTGCATTAATTGGTGCACTGTATTTAGTTATAAGGCCTGAACACGTCATGTTCACATTGGGTGTTATATAGCATACGGATATTATAATACATGTAACTTTTACAAGGACATTGTTATTGCAACGCAATGACAAAAGACAGCTCGTTGAGAAGCTAATAGTTGGTGCGCCCATTGTTCCGCTCATAGGCGGCTATCACCAATTACCGGGCATTATTTGTTATTGCATCATTAGTTTTCTATTTATTTATTTAGTTTTGGGGAGGGGGATATCGTATTACGAATTCATGACCCTTATGCATAATGACCATGTTCTAAAATTACAAATAGCGGTCTTCATGAATAGTTGTCCAATGAATAGCGGTCCTTATAACTAGCGAGTGGAGCCCTCCTGATGGGCCTCTGCCATTTACGTCCGGCCGTTCACTTCGCCGCCCCCTCCCTCACACACACACACACACATAATACGCAGCCTTAATGGTGTACCTAAACAAGAATCTATAGCAAGTCGGACAATTATAGCGATCAAACAATAGCCTTGCTCGGCCGCGTGAAATCCTGCCACAGCATTCGAACTTTTCTTTTGTATTCGTTCCATAGAACTCTACTTTATCTTAAAGCGAGGTGAAATGAAAAGAGCGTCATCATGAGTAGATCTTTTGTTTGATGTTATCCTTCTTCTCCCTAGTTAAGTCAAACCTCAATTTAGGCCTATCCATAAAAGGTAGCTTCCTGTACCGTTTGCTTTTTTTTTTTTTACCTGACTGCTACATGAAGCATATGCTCTGAATTAGGCAAACAGGGGACCGGCGGCTTTAAGACCTCTCCGAACGAAATGTAATGTTGAGTTATGCCTTACCAAAGGGCACTAGCATATAGACTTGGTTTCTAACCAGGGAGCTCCCGGTTACGAGCTGGTCTGCTCTACCACTGGGCTCAAGCGCCTCCCTCCTTTTAAAAAGATCTTTTAAAATTTGGCGTGATATCCTGCCACAGCATTTTATGTTTTTTCCTTTAGAGCGAACTTTTCTTTTGTATTCGCTCCATACAGAACTCTACCTTATCAAACAGCGAGTTGAAATGAAAAGAGCGTCATCTTGAGTAGATCTTTTGTTTGATGTTATCCTCCTTATCCCTAATAAGCAAACCTTCAATTCATTAGAATCAAGTCAAGGGAGGAGAAGAAGAAAAAAGGAGGATTTTACTGACAAAATATATATTCTTCCAAGCTCAGGCTGTGGCAACGCATAGCGTGAATATGAATGACGGGAGAGAAAGATAATGCCTTTGTCCATTATTAGGACGCTAGAATAATAGCGCGATGTGGGAATTATACAAATATGTTGATAATCATTCAAATTACAAACATAACAAGCGCCCTAAACAGTAATCAATTTGCCGACTATAACCGCATACATGTATTCATTCACATCATTCGCCTTTTATTTTTTTGTTGTTGGGGACAATCAA